ACATCTCTGATGCAAAAATTTGGCTCCAAAAGTGTTTTGATGTTGCGCAACAGGAGGGCAGCCAGAGCCTTGCCAAGGGGGGCTCAGCGTTTACAGCGTTTACGGAGGGCCCCCTAACAGCGAAGGGGACACTCCAAAAAATAATCGGATGTGACCCATTTGTTATTAAGTACATGTCTCTCCTGTACATGTATATATATATATATATATATATATATATATATATATATATATAGGAATATTTTGGCAGAATCCTTTTTTTATCCATGTTCGATTACAAAACTGCTGACTCAGCGCTGACGAGCTTTTTGACCCATCGTTCTAGTTTCCGGGTCTTTGACTTGATATCCTCGCTTAGATTAAAGATGGTTCGCACAAAATTCCTCATATATTTATCGCTCCTTACATTCTAACGTTTCGAGATCCTATCTCACCGTCGGAGAAGACTGAATGGCACAAGAAATAAGTTTGAGTTTTAGAGGATAAACAAGTTGCGCACTTCTGTTGGAAACATCTTTTGGTACGGAGAACATAAATGAAGCATAACTAATTGAAGTAAGACAAAATCATATTTTCACTTTGATACACGTAAGAAACACTCGTAAACTTACTGATCGGAACGCAACACTCATCAGAAACTTTATTATAATTTTTATCTGAATTCTTGAACTATTAGGTGGTGGGCGGTGAGCACTATTGATGTGATTGTGGTAATAGTATTCTCATTGTGTCTTTGTAATGTCCGCATTATGAGTGTGTCTTATATGTGTCAACGTGAAAATAGGACTGACTTCAATTAGTTATGCTTCATTTATGTTCTCCGTACCAAAGGATGTTTTCCAACAGAAGCGCACAATTTTTTATCCTTTAAAACTCCAAACTTATTTCTTGGGCCATTCAGTCTTCTCCGACCATGAGATAGGACCTCGAAACGTTAGAATATAGGGAGCGTTGAATATATGCGTAATTTCGTGCGACCTATCTTTAATCTAAGCGATGATGCCAAGTCAAAACCCCGAAAACTAGAACGATGCGTCAAAAAGCTTGTCAATGCTGAGCCAGGAGTTAGTTTTAATCAAACATGTATATACACACACACATATATATATATATATATATATATATATATATATATAGCACATTTTCATCTTTAATAACTGGGATATAGGCCAGACGCTACCACGAGATCAATTCTGTCTTAAGTTTATACTAAATAAACTGACAAAATCACGCGTTAAATGACTGTAGGGAATAAATCGCCGGCATTCCTCATTTTACAATGGTCCAGTGGGCTCTTTTTAAGTGGATAGAACTCAGAAACTTCGTAAGGATTTTTATCTGAATTGTACGGGAATAGCAAGCATTCCGCGAATCTAGATTAAAGATCAAAATGGGTCAACAATTTGTATTAGCATGCTAGGTCATGCTTGTCCGGATGTCTTGAACATTCAGTCAAAGCTGATTAGTGGTACAAATGATGCAATACAGTTTTGAGTATGCGCGCTCGCATATCTTTTTGAAACAAAATACTCAGCGTTAGGCGTTGCAGTCTCCTTGGGGCGCGCAGCGTCCGTTTCCCAGACGCGCAGCGTTTAACGCAGACGCGTGAACCATTACAAGATCGGAACCCCGCGCGCGGGCTCAAACATTTTGATGGCATTTGTTTCACTAGTCGGCTCTGCAGAATGATGAACGTTCTCAGGAAAGCATGGGATGGCCTTGTGCGTTTCGAACCCATTTCGACACACTCCATTTAGCGTTAATGAGACCCCTTATTTCTGTCCGGTAAAGGGAACCCCTAGAGTGCAACACTACGGGGCACATTGCTGTTCCTGGTCAAGAACTGAAGGGCCATTCTGTCGCACCGCGTTGTGTTTTCCGGCCGTACGCTGGCGACACGGGCGACATCTCCCGGCCAATCCGGAAGTCCCTGCGGGATGTATCACATCACATTGGTCCGCTCCCTGACACGGAAGGCCTTCTGACCTGCGCAGTTGACCCCGGATCGGCATATGAACCGTCATTGACGCAACAATATCCCTGCTCACCGCAGGTGGTCAAATAATTGGTAAATAAACTCCAATTGGGCTTAACGGGCCCATGCTGGAAAGGAGTTGGAGGACCCACCGTTCGGTGGTGGGGGCCCTGACTGGCACAGAACTCTTCTTTTACTTAAATGTGAGTACTCATCATAAGCTCTTGTTTTCTTCAATTGTCAGAGGATGCCGACCAACGTACGAGACACTGCCATTCAGGCTTCGCCCCTGTTGAATAAATCTCTCCCTTTACGACTCGAGGCCCCCTGTTGACACAGAATGCCCTGTTAGGCACTGTGGGCCCCTGAACAATACAGGAGCCCGGCCGAAGTAAATCGCGGGCCTGGCCTTATCCCTGCTTGGAAAATGGGTCCCGAGGGCTCAGACCAACACGGAGTTCACTGCTCGTTGTTCGTGATCTCTGGCGGAAACAGAGGGAACGCTCTGTTTCAGGCGTCACTATCGGTGCAAGGGATTATCTTTCTAAAATTCGAGGTCACGGCGAGGGTCCTTAATGAGATCTGCAACCAGCCCTTCGGACCGTTAGCTATCCCATCGGGCCTTCGATCCTTGGTCTCGAGAGACCCTTCGGCTCCTCTTCGGGCCCCCTCAAACACACCTTCGACTCGGGACAGTTTCTACCACATGACTCCTGTTCGGCACTGTGGCCCCTTACCGACACAGGAGCCCCTCATTGTATCAGGGACCGCGAGCATGGCAAATCTCGGACTCCGGCCCCGTCTCTGCTTGGGAAAGGGTCTCAAAGGCTCGGACGGACGTGGGGCCAACTGTTCGGTGTTCGTGGTCTCTGACCGACCTGGGCACCCGCATTGTCTCAGGGGTCCCTATAACGGTGCAAGAGGACCTCTGACTGGCATGTCAGGTCACGACCCTACAGAGCGCGATTCTTTATGTGGCCTTCAGCCAGTCCTCGGGCCCTTATGCCCGCCGATCGAGCCTTTGATATGCGGCTCCGGTGAGCCGTCCGGGCCCCTCTTCGGGCCTCATCAAACACTTCCCTTGGTCCGCTCGGGGCCTTTGCAAGCACAGCACCCTCAGTTAGGCACTGTGGGCCCCTGAAAGATACAAGGCCCTCTACTAGTGTAAATCACTGGCCCGGCTTCATAGCTGATTGGGAAGTGGGTCCTCATGCCCATACCGACACGGGACCGACTATGTGGTACAGTGGTACCTGACCGACATATAGCCCAATGTTGACGCAGGGGTCACCAATTGGCGCAAAGGGCCCTCTGCCCATTATATGAGGTCTGGATTCGTAGGTCTGGACCCCTGAATAGGACTCTGACCAGCTCTTTATGTCCTTACACCCTCCAAGCGGGCCCTTGATTGTCAGACCGGGTGGACCCTTCCAGTTTCTTCGGGCATCCTCGAACGCTGCCTCTGGCCGACTCGGGGCCCCTTGACAACACAGGACCCCTGTTAGGCGCTGTGGGGCCCCGAGCAATATAAATCGCTGACTCCGGCTTTGTCCCTGCTTGAGAAATGGGCCCTTAGGCCTATAACGCCACGGAACTCACTGTCCGTTACTGGTGGAATCGGACCGAAATGTACGCTCTTATCGACTCAGTGGGCCCCTGATCAGCGTGCAGGGCCATCTGGCTGGCATTTGAGTGCCCGACCCTGCGGACCGGAGCCCCTGAATGAGACCCTTGGCTGGCTTTTCGGACCCTTCGGGTACTCAAATCAGGCCCATAATAGTGGGATCCGAGTAGCCCTTCGGGCCCCTCGCAGCCTAAAGGGAGGGGGGGACGTGCCCCCTGTGCCCCCTGCCTGCACTACTGTGGCGCAATAACGTGATAGTCATAAAGTTTACATGATACTTATAATCGTGATATATCGTAGTCATGTATAATGATTACGATATTGATAGTGATGCGTTTAGACATTTGGTGTACTATCATTTCAGGCACTACATGAAATTTCCTTTTTCCCAGTTTTCCCATATGCATATATACATATATATATATATATATATATATATATATATATATATATATATATATATATATATACTGGGGGCTCAACTGTCATTTTCACACCTTTGGGGGGGGGGAGTCCCCAATGCTGACGTGAGCCCCCTCATTGCGCTTCTGAGCCCCCGCCCCTCCACCTCCAATGCATACGAGCAAAAAATGAAATACTGAGCTAAAGAAATACAGCATGTATCTAAACTGCTGGTACGCTAGGTGTCTGAACATAACACTGGCAATATCATCATCATAAATCATCATAAGCGCTATCACATCGGCTTCAAATGGAAGATACGATGTCAACATCAAAATCATTTGGGACCAACCAAATAAACGTTTTAATTTTCACTTTGACACCAAAGACGCAAATCAAAGTGGCCGAAATCCGGGGAGAAAGCAGGATTTGGGGGGGGGGAAGTGTGCTAAGTAACACCCCTGATGGCCAGCACGACACATTTGCAAGTTTTCTGCTGCGCCACGCTACCTTGTATCAGACCGAATCACCTATCCAACACAGTATTCAGCTGTCACCTGATGCACAGCTCAGTCCGATCGCGGCACTCAAGAGACGCAACCAACCCGTCTAAGCGCAGTGCGGGAGGCGACGTGAGCCCTGAACGCGAGAAGATCACTGTACTGTCGCCCGCATGGGCTGCATTAGCCCTCTCCATGCCGCCCCCCCCCCCCCCCCCCCCCCCCCTATGGGCGCCGCTTCGCCGCCACCTGCAAACGACACCGGGCCCGGCTGAGGCGCCGGCCTCCGCAGACAGCGGCGCGTATACTTTTCCTAAATGATCGCGGTCATTAGGGCGTTATTGATGATTGCCTATTGTTTTGAGTGCTGGCGCCGGCGGGCCGGGGCCGCCCGCGCGCGGACGGCGGCCGCCTCCCGAGCCCCAGCGGCGCCGGTCGGCCGCGGCTCGGCAACACGCGCGCCAGCCGGGCGCCGCGGCCGGCCCACAGTCGGCGGAGCGCGCGGCGGAGGTGGGGCGCGGCGAGCATTCCGCACGCCCGCCAGTATGTGCGGTGCCGATGTGGAAGAAATTAATGCAACCGATTCATAGGCAGAGGCGCATCCAGCGACTGATCAGACTCGGTGTGAGCGATGGCGTCGAGGCCGAGTGCGCGCCGGAGGACAGCGGTGTCTGTGCGACGGACAGCGAGTCGGAGCGCGAGCTGGTCAGGTCTCTGCTCAGCACGCTCCACATCGACAGCCTGAAGATGTTGTGCGAGGCGGTCGAGAGCGGGGGCGACTCGCTCGGCGCGTGCGTTGTTGTGCCGAAGCGTGAGTACGTGCTCAGGTCGAAGTGTGCCACGGCTGTTGTTTTGTTTTGTCGTTATTTCCGCTGGCCGGACGTGGATTGTGAACTGCGCCTCAGGCGACTCCTCGTCTGCCAGTGCGTCCAAGACGACTGCCAAACGTGCATAAATCCATATCATTGGAGCAGAGTCTACACACAAGGTGAGCTCTTCGGTGTGCGGTCGCATGGTTCGCTTCACAACGCAAGTTGAGGTCTAAGAGCGTGTGATTTAAGGGCGCTGGGACCTCGGCGTCGAGGGGTGGCGTCCGTGGTGAGAAGAGTAAACTGAAGGGTATTTCAATCGTTGCCTCTGGGGCTGGATGATGGTTTTTGTTCTGAACGCTCCATCATAGAATCATGCTCTCGCGCTGTTGCCGTCTTGCACACTGGTAGTGCTAGTCGTACGACAGAAAATTATGTCTCAACAAAAAGTAATCCGTAGGTGTGGAGTGGGCAGGCAATCATCCCAAATCCTTTTCTCGATGGAAGTCTGTCCCGTTAAAAACAATTTAACGCTACATGTTGGTTACCGTGAGTACTTATGCCTAGTATAAGTACCTTCGGCGACTATCCTGCTTTGAGCCTAGTTTTACCAGAAACATGTGATGCAAATGACTTGGCAACATTTGATCGCACCGTCAGTGGCTGCAGTGGAGGGGTGCTCTGTGTGACCTGTACACTGCGTGCAAGAGACCGGCTGTTCGCCGGCGCTACTGGAAGCTGCGATGGAGGGGTGCTCTGTATGACCTGTACTCTGTGTGCGTGACACCGGCTGGTCGCCGGCGCTGCTGGAAGCTGTGCACCAGCCGTTGACCCCGGCGTCGCAGTGACGCCGGCGAGTCGTCAGAATACATGGCGGCGAGCAGAGCGTGGCGTCATCACGAACTCGGCAACAGTCGGCCGTGTTTCGCAGTTACCTTAGCCGGGTTAATATTGACATAACATTGTCCTAGAGCTTTAGATCAGACGCTAATCCATGCTCTTTCTTAGAAGCCCATGTAACATGTATGAATCCCCTTTTAAGTTCTGTTGAAAATCTTCCTTGCCTCCTCGTTATACTCGTGAATCAGGCGCCCAAAGGGTCGCCGTTTTATAATGCGGCTGTCGAAAGCCTGCGAGTGAAATCAATACGAGTCTCGTCACAAGACGAATGTTTTTGCGGCGTGCACATGGCTTCTTGCCGGCGGGACCGGACACCGAAGCGAGTGAAACCTGAATGTCCGATGTCTGGCACCAGATATCAACAATGCTCAGGCATTGTTAGGATGGAAAGAATGGGGTCAAGCTTTCGGACCTTTCAGCTAGAGGCAGGAGTAAAGCACGGTGACAATGTTGTTCAAAAAGTTCCCAAGCGTGAACTCATCTGAAAACCGTGCAAGGTGATAATATATGCACCTCTGTCTGGGCTTCAGATATATCAACCGGCTTTGATTTTGAGGGGTCTTCAGAAACATGCCAATACAAATTGGGAACAGAAGGCAAGGAGTTCACTGCCCGGGTGGTGAACAAACAATCGGTGACCGTTTGGTTCATTGCCGGGGGTGGCGAACAAACCATCTGTTACTGTTTGGTTCCTTGCCCGGGTGGCGAACAAACAATCGGTGAATCGGCTTTGTGCCGAACGCCATCCGGACTAATCGGCTCTGTTGCGCCCCGCCAAGTCTGCTTACAACCTACGAATGGGATGAGAGGCGGCATATCCCCGACCTGAGCAGCCTAACAGAAAACTTGGTCTCCCTCACGGCTACCGTGTTCCGTCACGGCTGGTGGGAATGCCGGCGGAGTAATCCGTGCTTGGTCCCCCTCACGGCTACCGTGTTCCGTCACGGCTGGTGGGAATGCCGGCGGAGTAATCCGTGCTTGGTCTCCCTCACGGATACCGTGTTCCGTCACGGCGGGTGGGAATGCCGGCGGAGTAATCCGTGCTTGGTCTCCCTCACGGCTACCGTGTTCCGTCACGGCTGGCGGGAATGCCGGCGGAGTAATCCGTGCTTGGTCTCCCTCACGGATACCGTGTTCCGTCACGGCTGGTGGGAATGCCGGCGGAGTAAATCCCTGTGCTTGGTCTCCCTACACGGCTAACCAACCGGTTCCGTCACGCCTGGGGTGGAATGCCGCGGAGTAATCCGTCTTGGTCTCCCTCACGGCTCCGTGTTCCGTCACGGCTGGTGGGAATGCCGGCGGAGTAATACCGTGCTTGGTCTCCCTCACGTCTACCGTGTTCCTCACGGCCTGGTGGGAATGCCGGGGGTAATCCGTGCTGGTCTCCCTCACGGACTACCGTGTGTCCGTCACGGCGGGTGGTAATGCCGGCGGAGTAATCCGTGCTTGGTCTCTCCCCCTCACGCTACCGTGTTCCGTCACGCTGGTGGGAATGCCGGCGAGTAATCCGTGCTTGGGTCTCCCTCACGGATACCGTGTTCGTCACGGCGGGGTGGAATGACCGGCGGAGTAATCCGTGCTTGGACTCCCGCTCACGGATACAGTGTTCCGTCACGGCTGGTGGGAATGCCGGCGGAGTAATCCGTGCTTGGTCTCCCTCACGGATACCGTGTTCCGTCACGGCTGGTGGGAATGCCGGCGGAGTAATCCGTGCTTGGTCTCCCTCACGGCTACCGTGTTCCGTCACGGCTGGTGGGAATGCCGGCGGAGTAATCCGTGCTTGGTCTCCCTCACGGATACCGTGTTCCGTCACGGCGGGTGGGAATGCCGGCGGAGTAATCCGTACGCGGCGTCACCGAGTTTCCGCCAGTCGGCGCCACGAGCCCTTACGACGAGCACGTACCCGCTGCGAACAGGATCACGAGCGTGCCCAACACGGAGGCGGCCGGTGTCCGGGTCCTGACAGCCTTCGGGGGCTTCGGATATTTGTGTATTTTATCACATGTCCAGGCATCGACGCGGACGGGGCCCGTAGCAGCGAGTGCGCGGTTACGCCTCTGGTCAGGCCAGTGGGCGTGACGTCACGTGTTTTTATTCCGAGGCGGACTTCCACGTATTGCGCCGGCCGTAATGGCCGAACCTGTCTGTGTCAAGAAGGCCTAACAAAGCGGCCGAGCACCACCAAGCGCCGTGGACATCCACAATTCCCAGCCCTGCAGCGGTCCATTTCTTGGAGTTGGGCGCAACGACTTCCGTGAACGACCCCCTATAGATGTAGAAATTGTTCATGCAAGGACCCCGGTTGCATGTTTGTGAGGCGCTCGCTCCATTGCTTTGCAGCGGCAGGATCGAGTGCTTACTCAAATGGGGTCTGGGCGGACGCGCCAAGCCGTGGGCCGGAGCCGGGCGGCCGGCAAACTGGTGTTTCCGCCCCTACTTCACCCCCGCCTTCGGGGAAGGGGGGGGGGGGGCTACAGTGGGTGCGTAAGATAGCACCGCGAATGATCACGCAAACGGAAACGAAAAACATTGTTTCATGTGAAAATGCTGAATCACTTATTTGACGCGTCATGTTCGTGCGTAGACTGCAAGCAGAAAATGGGTGCGTAGTGTCGCACGATCCTCTTGACCTTCGTATTTCGTTCAGCCTTGACAAGCATGATAGTGATGATAATTTACAGTTAATGGAAAATTTGGCTAGAATACGCTATGGTAAGTGATAGCGGTTAGGAACTATTTTTTGCCGACGTGTGTCATTTAAGCCATTGCAGAGAATACCGAGTTCGTAACCCCCCAAAATTAAACATAATACCAGCACCCTTTGAAATATGACCTTCCTGACAGTTCTGAAATCTGCAAACTTTTTTGCACCGTTACGTTAAGGCAAAAAGTTGACTTTAGTGTCAAGTCAAATACGTATTCCCTATTCTAACCACTTTTGTTGTTCTGGCCTTCACCGTCCTGGCCCTTTTGTCCTGGCCTTCACCGTCCTGGCCCTTTTTGTCCTGGCCCTACCCACACTGCAAACATGCAGGGCTTAGGTTTAGCGATGATCTTTCTCGCCGTCTTGCGCTGCAACTTTGTGTTGGTATTTTGCAATTGCTTGCGAAACATTGAGCTGCTTTTGTGTCCAGTGCATTGTTAAACGGTCATCTAACCATGGCCCATTGGACTGCGCCGTGAGGCCCGGCCAAGCGGCTGGGCCTGTCATTATGCAGCTGATTGAAGCGCTTTCGACACGAATTCTCCCGATGTACTGTTTTATGCATACAGTCCATTCAGTAGTACCGTGAGTGTTGCGGTCTAGCCGTAGAACCAGTGCCTGTGGGTCGCTGTGGGCAATGTGGGTTAGCAGCAACACACTAGCGAGTTCGAAGTGAGTTCAGTGGTGGGTCGGTGGTGGGTCAGAATTCAGCCAAGCCAAGAGCCTGTGGCGGGTCAGAGGAATCCCAGCAGTGGGTCAGTTGCGGGTCAGAAGTTAGCCCAGGGATGGATCGACGGTGGGTCAGAAGTTTCCCCAGGGGTGGATCAGAAACGGGTTAGAAGTAAGCCCACGGGGTGGTCAGGAGTGGGTCTGGTGCCGAACCGGTCAGCGACCGTCACATTCGTCACGGTCGTCACGTTCGTCACGGTAATCACGTACGTGACGTCCATGGTGAACGTGCAGGACGTTCTGGGCGTGACGCAGGTGCCGGCGGACGGGCGGCGCCGCGGTCGATCTGTCGACCTCGCCGGCGCCCCGGCGGCCAGCTAGGGGTGGGGAGGGCATGCCGTGCTCTGCGGCACTAGAGCCCGACCGGGCCCGCCGTTAACCCCGGCTTCGCGTCGGAGGCGCCGGCGTCGTATCCCCATTCTGCCGCCGCCGCAGCATGGCCGCTGCTCTATCGCCAACGCAACCGTATAGAGACCGCTTGTTATAGGGGCGTGTGCCGCCTCCGCTAGGGGCCAGTGTATGCAGCCGGACTTGTCGGTCGGACACTGCTGAGAGCATCTGAACGGCTGATCATTTGTCTAGGCGCACCAGTGATGTCATTAGCCAGCGGCTACCTCGTGATGCCTTTTCCTGGATCTCTTTCGCATTCCACATCGGTATGGTCGTTCTTGTGCCATAGAAAACATCAGGTCTTTTGAGCACTGGCGGGACGAAAACATGATCGTCGATCTAGAATTGCAATATCTGTTACTGTTTACTACTCAGTAGCAGGAATGTTCAGGATATTGAAGAGTAAGAAAACACCAGTTCAGGTCTACTCGGACTCCTGCTATTTATCCATCATTA